CTTTTTGTTTTCACAGTGACGGAGATGCTGGTGAACGTTCTGAATATCTGCTCTGACGACGAGTTGATGTCCGAAGAGGACGACACGTGTGAGGGTAAGACTATTTCGTCTGTCCGGCTGGAGCCACAGTTCTGGTCCCCACCGAGTAACGGTATAAATTCAGCCATGCTTTGATGTCTGAGCAGGAACCGGTTTAGTCTGGACGTTGCTAGTCTGAACTCTTTATCTTTTACTTTAAAAATGTGTGCTGTGCTTATATTCCACTTCCTGAGTAGAATATAAGCACAGCAAAGAAAGATTGTCTCTGTCAGCACGGCATTGAGGCGTCCCGCTCCATCACAGCATCATGCACTAAGAGGGAGGATGTAGAACGTTCCTCCCCTCTAACGGAGCAGATGAACATGGCGGAGCGTCTTCACAGCCCCCTGATGCGTAACGTCTCTCAGAAATGCTGCAGCGCCGACTCTGGTCTGAGGTCAGCCTAATAGGGCGGCTGGCAGGTTGACATGGCGACACAGAGTAGGCGTTAACCCCTGAATTTGATTAGTCAAATTCTTCTGGGCTGAATTAGGAAGTGAAACCTTCAAGGACGTCAGGCTTCACCCCAGAGGATCTGCTGTAGGTACCAGATCTGCTCAAGGCCCTATGGCAACTCCACTCAGACAAACTGTATTGGACCCATTTCTTAAGAATCAAATCTCTCCAGGAGTCTCAACATATTATTACCTATATTTGCTATTATTTTACATTTCATGGCGATCTAAAGTAGCCAAAAGTAGAAAACGATCATTGTTAATCTTGAAGGAAAGTACTGCCTTCTAAGACTGAACTCTGATATTTATCTAGGAGACACAGTCTCAGCTTATTTATATTCCTTTTTATTAAAATCTGAGGGCAGCGGACGACAAATGGGACATCTTAAGAAATTACTTTCATAGAGATTTAAGACCAAGAAAACAGTTATTATACTTTTAGAAACTTCATGCAAAGTTAATTCAAATCAGTTTAATTTTATAGCGCCAATT